ACACATACTAAAGTAAAGGGGAAGGGGGGGGCGGGAAATGAGGTGTCTATATTAAGTCAAAAAGAGCTGAACCGAGTCTATAAAACCTGATCACATATCCACTGGCATCGTTGAAAGAGTATCATCAACCTCAAATGATTAAACTCTTGTTATTGAAATGAAATCCTTATCATAGCTGAGAATTAATGAAAAAACTATGGCAGATACCGTTCCCAGTAAAAGCATCTGCAGAATTCACATTGACTTCACCACTGCAAGGTCACACCCTACTGTAGATGCACAAAAAGGAAGGGCTAGAAGGGACAGCATGAGGTACACTAGGATCCCCCGTTTTCATTTCTGTTTCATTTCTACCATCCATCTGTGTCACTGCTGACACGTTCGCCCGCCCTGTTCCTAAACAGGCCTTTCAGGATAACCTGCAAATCCTAGGCAGCACATTCCTATTAGAAAACCTTTCTCAATGCCCAACTGCAACGTGCTTTGTTGCAATTTATGTCCATTCCTTCTAGCATTAGGTAGGTAACCCCATGCCAAACATCCCCAGAAATAAAAACCAGCAAACTCGTGCTATTTTTAAGCACCCTGTACATTGAGGATGAAGAGCTTTAACGTGTGAAAGCCTCAAACACCACGATGAATTTTATTTTATCTGTAGGTGCAAACACCAAGTTCTTTGCACAACGAGCAACCTGACTCTTTGCTCCTGCCATCTTACTCGCCACAGCAAGGAAATATGGGGTATCTTCAGACACAGCAGCAGCAGCAGCAGCAGCAGCAGCAACTAACATCAAGAAGAAGCAATAGCTTATCAGAATCATCAAATTTACCACAGCCACTGCGATAGAGTCCCACCAGCACAATCAATGCACGATTAGCTTTAACCAATGGGCAGATGGGGCAGAAGAGAACGACTTTGTACTTACTGTTCTGGCTTTTGCACAAGCACTTCTTTCAAAGCTCTACGACAGAAGTACGCCACAGAGTGCAGACTGCCACAGGCAGTGCATTTACGGCGTGCTGGGTTCAGTCTGTGCTGTCTCGTGAGCACAGTATGTGCTGACAGAGCAAAATAAAAAGGAACACTATCCTGTGCAGCCTCCATCACCAGTGGGTGCACAGGAGGAGGCATTCAGTCTTGGCGTGTCACTCTGAAAGCTATCTGGCAATTCCAAAAGACTGTCGACAGACTCATGAGGTACTTGGCCTTCACTGTTTCAGTTCTTCTTTTGTGTATGAAAAGCACTGCATCAAAGGTCTATTGAGGAGAGAACAAGAGATTATTTTTATTATGATTATTGTTATTATTTTGCACAACTGCACAGAGGACAAAACCTAGGCACTTTCTGTAAAGAGAAGTTTGTTTCCTTATTCTTGTGGCCAAATTAGCACATCCGATGGAGGAGAAAGCCCAGTCATTGGTGAAGATGGTCTACAGCTCATAACCCTTGATTTAGAATCTGAAAAGTATTATGCAGCTTACCCTAACTGTTCTTCATTACTAAAAAACAAACAAAAAACCCCCACAACCCACACTGGACTCTTTTCTATACCAATTGTGATTGCAACAGAGGACTCAAAATGGTAGGCACAACCATGTAACTCCCCAGTAGCAAAACACGCATCCTTCTGCAACCTAAATAACTCACCCACTGCAAGTCTCTGAGAAATATGCACTGTGTTTTGGCCCACTGACTCGGGATGCTGCAGACTATGACATATCTCTTTCATTATAACATTTAGGATTGAATTTTCCTTTGGGGGGAAAAAAAAGAAATGCACTTTTCGCTTTTTTTGTATGTTTTCTGTTGATATGTTTCTAAGAAAGATTTTATGTAATTATTAAATAAAAAGTAGTGTATTGTACAGCTGTTGTAATAATGACCTATTTCTATATAAAATAAAATTATATGGAATTATGTGGAAATTATTTTGTATATGAAATATCAACTCATTTCACAAGTATAAAGGTTGTGCTTGTGCTTTTTTGTGAGTGGATATTTTGTAATAAACTAATGAATTAGAAATGTTTTTGTGAAGGCAACTACTGTTTCATGCTATATACAACTCAAACTATTATTTTTTTCCATTTAATGATGGACAGTTGTCTTTATTTGTAGAATAAAATAAAATAGCCAAAAGGCTTTATTGCAGGACTTGCACACATTTTCCTGTGGCTGTTCAACTATGTGATTCACTTGAGATTGTTGATACTAACTGTAGCCTGGCAAGGTGTTTGGGTATTTGGCACCCAGTTAGCAAAACCAAGGATTATCCTACAAGGATCTTTGTCATGGCAGAGAAGAGAAGGATAGCTCAGGGAGTTCTATCAGCTGCCAGCCAAGGCAGCTCCTTTTAAGTGCCTTTAAAACTTTAAAGACCTCAGGCACCTCTGTACTTCCAACCAACCAGTTTTAGATTAGGACAAAGCAGATGGTTTAAAGAATGGTTTGACCCAGCACGCACCAGGGCTTTGACCCATGTCTGGCTTCAGTGTTTTAAGACATTGCTGTCCTGAGTTTTGTGATACATCTCTGCCAGAATTGCTACCCTGCCCACACTGTAGACAGTCTAGTTTCCACTTTGGCATCCTTGTGCGGGCTCTTTTTCACAGTAAATTCAAACTGACTACAGGAGAGAGCAGCCAAGGTACAGGTCTGCTTTCCCCCTGCTGACTCTGCTGCAGAAGCAGCAACCTCCAACACAGAACGAGGTGGATGGCTGAGCATAGCAATGTCTGCATTCACCGTGGCAAGACTGAAAGGGGATGGCCCTCAGGGCAGGTTGCAGCTTCAGGAGCCAGCGTTAGCTTCAGGAGCCAGCAGACCGAGCTGCCCTTCCCGCCCTTCAGTACCAAGGATCATAGAATTGTAGAATTGTTTATGTTGGAAAAGACCTTTACGATTATCAAGTCCAACTGTTAACCTAACACTGCCATTAAACCCAACACGTGCCATTGCCATCATGTCACCAGGGCCTACATGTTCAGCTCTGGTTTCTATGCCATAGAGGAACAATGGAGATAGTTGGGCTGGAAAGGCTGAAAGTAAACTTCCAGAAACATAAAAAAGGTTCCTCTGCCCAGAGTTCTGGGAACTCCTTCTAAAAAAGCTAAAAATCTCCTGCAGAAAACCTACTGGCAAAACAACCCTGCTGCTTCCACAGCAAGACTGGCTGGTAGGATTGGTTGGTGCACGTGTGTTTCAGTCCAAATGATCCCTTTGTTTTACTTCATTGAAGGAAGATGAGGGGATCAAGTATCTGCTCTCCGAAGATCAGATCTGGTCTGCCAAGAAAAGTGTTTTTACTGCTAGCTTTAGGTACCAGTCTTGAGTTAGCCTGCTCATCTTTTTAAACTCTTGGATTCAGTGGAGCAACGGTGACCCCACCAGATGAACATTAAAGAGCTAAACCCTAAGGTGCTTTCATGCCTGAAGGAACCTCTTTCTTTCCATTAACTACAGCCAAACCTTAGCGAAGGCCAGTCGGCTAAGTTAGAGGCTAACTTCATAAATGCCACCCAGCCCTGTCAGGGCTTATTCTGGGAAAGGGGAGGGGAAATTTGCCCGTTTGCAGGCCAAAAAGTTCACGCAGGAAGGAGGCAATGAAGGAACGCGAGCACCTCAGGGGAAATACCCATGGAAGCAGCGCTCACTTGATGGATCTCATCCGCTATGATGGAAGTCACAGGAAGAGAAAACCCCTTTAAGAATTTGTTTCACTCTCGGGGATGGTTACAATACCCCCACGTTCTCCCAGTTGCCAGCGGGTATGTCCAAACCAAGCTCAGCCTCCCAGCGAACACTTATCTTTCCAAAACCAGCAGTGCTGTTAAGTCGTTAACAGCCGTAAATAGGGTGGGGTCGCCTTCCAAAATAAACCGGCTTATTATATCGCTTGGAAAGCCACAAAGCACTCGCAAGAACAGATTTACGCCAACACCTGGTTTTTCATCCTCTGTCTCGCTTCCCCCCCTGTACGCTCCTCCTGGTTTTGGATTACCCCGCTTGTTGCCCCGTCGCACGCACGATGCGACGCCACGTCCTCTTCCTCGGGCCGGGCTGTTGTTCTTGCTCATCACAGCCGAGATCCATCTCCTTCCACCACCACCGCTCAGCTTGGCTCCT